GTACCTGGATGAATAGAAACTTGAGCAGAACCTCCTCCTCTTTTTCTTAAACCGGGATCAAACTAGAGCAGAACCTCCTCTCTTTCTTTCTCTCTTTTTCTCTCTTCTTTCTCCCTCTCTATCTCTCTAGAATTTCCCTCTCTCTAGAATTGTGAATTTTCAAAACTCTAGGCCTCTATTTATAGAAATTTTAAAGTTACTATGCACAGGTTACTATTCATTAAAATAATATTATTTCATTATTTTAATATTAAAGTTACTATGAACTATTCATTAAAATATTAGAATTAATTAAATTTTGAAACTCAATTCCGCAGCCCCCTTCGGTTCCGCAGCCTTCAATTATGCATATGAATAGTAAAATACTATTCATAAATACGTATACATGAATAGTAAAATACATATACGTAAATAGTAAAATACGTATATGTAAATAGTAAAATACGTATATAAAAATACGGTAACTCTTCTAATAATTCCAATACATAAAAAAATAAAATTTTGGAATGTTACACTACTTCCCTCCTTTTAGAAATTTCGTCCCCGAAATTACCTGATGCAAATAAAAATGGATATGAAGCTTTCATCTTCTCCTCTAATTCCCAAGTAGCACTTTCTGGTATAGCTCCTCCCCAAATAACCTTTACCAAAGGAATTTCTTTACCCCTAAGTTGCTTTACCATTCGATCCTCGACTCTCACCGGGGTAGCTTCCACCGTCAAGTTCTCCTTAACCTCAATATGATCCGACTCAATCACATGCGAAGGATCATGGATGTATTTTCGAAGTTGTGAAATATGAAAAACATCATGAAGATTTGACAGATTAGGAGGCAAAGCAATTTTGTAGGCAACATTGCCGACTCTTTTAAGAATTTGAAAAGGACCAATAAATCGAGGAGTAAGTTTTCTGGATTTTAATGCCCTACCAACCCCAGTCCACGGAGTGACTTTCAAGAATACATGATCACCTTCTTGAAATTCTAAATCTTTTCTTCTCCTGTCAGCATAACTTTTCTGTCTACTCTGAGCTGTCCTCATCCTATCCTGTATCAATTTAACTTTTTCAGTGGTTTGCTGCACAATTTCAGGTCCTAAGATGACATTGTCTCCAGGCTCACTCCAACACAAAGGAGTTCTACACTTCCTACCATACAAGGCTTCATAGGGTGCCATACCTATGCTAGAGTGGTAACTATTATTATAGGTAAACTCTATCAAAGGTAAAAG